CCGTCCTGCCCCTCCCTACATGTATACCTTCATACCACCTCTCTTGGATGCTCTTGAACACTGCACAGGGATTAAAATGACAAAGGGACACCTAAATTCCGTGTATTCTCTACCTTGCTTTTGTTGCTTTTTCTGCAAGCAGAAGTAATTCAGCTAGTTGTAGCTCTCCCTGTGATCCCCCTCCCACCAGTGTGGTTAAGGTCCTCCCTCATCTCTGAGGTGCTACAGTGAGCCCGAGGTCCCTGCCCAAGCCGCCACCCACCCTCTGGTGCTTTTTAGTGCAGTGCTGGTTCTCTTACAGGAAATTGTTCTTAGAAGTAGAAGCCAAGAGCTTTTTCCTTTCCTGTTTGGAGTCCCAGCAATCCAGCTTCCCCACTGTGGAAGCTCTCTAACGTGCCCTGTTTAACTTTGCTGTGTGCTATTTCTTTTTTTTTTTTTTTTTTTTTTTTTTTCTCTCAGAGTACTGAAGATGAAAGGTCCCCACTCATCAGGACGTCTTAGTAGATTTTCTTTAACATGTGAGTTTGGAGAATAAACTATTAGAGCTGACCTAATACCAAGTACCACTACCCAGCGTTGTCCACTGTGGAGAAACGAGCGCATCGAGTATAACTTTTTGTGGTATAGAGATGGAAGAGAATCTGCGCTGTCATCAAGGGAGGAGACTTGTCTTACCAGCTAAGCTACAACTTCACAACTACATTTTAAAACTGCTTGAGATCCTGCTTTTTTCAACCCCGCACTCTCTTTGCACCTGCACTGACAGCCATAGATGATCATAACCATGATATCAGCGGAAATAAAATGGCCTGATTCATTACAGGAACGACACGGGTAAAATTTGCAAATGGCCTTTGGAGTGTGGGCTGCGAAGCACCCTTCTAGAAAGAGAGCAGGCTCCTGCACCGCCCAGGAACAACGGACGGGTTTGCTGTAGGCCTAGTATTGTCTTCTCTGTCAAGTGTTGCGCGCTACTTATTACCAGTATGCACTGACTGTTTGTTATTAATGTCATTGGTCCTTTCACAAAACTGATTTGTACAACTAATCCCAACCACTGAGTGAAACTTTGTTAAGCGCCTGTAGTAAGCAGGTAAAAAGCAGCCGATGGTTTGGAATGCTTTTCCGTACGGACCTCTTACCTGTTCTGCTCTGCGCAGGATCCTATTGCATGTTAGCGAGGCATTTATCCTTAAGGTTTGAGGTTTTTTCTTCAACTTTACAAAACAAATCACAACCCAACACTGTTCTTGACGGTGCAGGGTACAAAAACGGTGTTCTTTCGGCGCTGGTATTTGCATCCTAGTCATCAGCTGCGTGGTTTCATGTGAATGTGGGCTTGGCAGTTACGTTGACTGTTCAGGATAAAAGCACACCTCCATATTAAGGTATGTACAGGGCCTTGAGAAGTCGTAACACTTTTTATACTTATCAAATGGAAACTTGTTTTAAAAAGTCACAAAAGTATTTTTTCCCCAATTAAAATAATATTCCTATGGAGAAGTATTTCCTTTAGATTTAGATAGTGAAACATCCTTTAAAAACTTATTACTTAGTTGTAAATAGAGGCACTGGGGTTTGCATTGGTTTGCTTGGGGTTTTTTTTCCTCACTGGTGATTTGTTCAACCTTTTTTTTTCATCTGGGGCCAGTTCCAACGTGGAAGTTTCATGGGGACTGCAATTATTTATCATCTGTATGAGCTAAAAGCACCTGGCAGCGTCCAGGGTCCTCACAGTATCGCAGTTGCAGCTTCGCCTCTTTCCCGCCTTCGCTGCAGCAGGGGGCCAGAGCTGGTATCCCAAACCTCGGCCGAGGAGCAGGACTTTCATTGGACATTCGCCTGCCTCTTGCCTTGAGAACTGCAAGCGTACACCCAGGGAACAAGAAGCTCATCACAACTTTTTACAGCGAGTCGTCTCAAAGGAGCGGGGCTGGAACAACCTTTCTATTCAGCAGCGTGGGCTGAAGCAGTCACCTCTTGTCCATCTGTTTTCTGCGTGGCCAGGCTGAAAATAACACTCTGTGAAAACTGTGGGAATTTTCTTTGCTCTGCTTTTCCCCACGTGCTGCTGTTCTTCCCCCGTTTTCCATGCCAGATGTGTGGTTGGAGTTACAGCCCCTCACTGCTTGTGTGCTGTTCGTGTCCTTCCCCAGCCCATGGCCCTCCCGCAGGGAGAGGCTAGTGGATTTCCTTTCCTAGTTGCCTCTCATGTCCTACAGCGGGAGAAACCTGCCCCCAAATTAACAGTGCTGGGAAAGGGAGGAGGGGAAAGAGCTGAATCCATTGTAAGGCAGATCCCCCACCAGAACGGGGTCTTCCTCTGCCTGCAGGTACAAGGGGACCCCCGCCTGGGTGGGTACTGCACTCAGCACGGCCCGGCGCTGTGAAGCTCTCCGGTCAGCGTACCCCAAATTTCCTTGGGGGTCAACCTTGACCATAGCCTTGAGTTCAACCTCTGAGG